CTTGTGTTACATAAGGGCATTTTCATACAGCTGTGTTTTATGATTCCTCCCATACTCCCTCTCCACATCCATGACTCCTCTTTGTTCCCCTGGAGAGTTTTGCTTCTGCTTCATATCATATACATACAAGATGGATCATAAGTGTCTTTATAAGATTAGGAACCACATATCCAAGCGGCTAACTTTCCTCTAAAAAAATTAATCACTCAACCTAAAGCCTACCCTATGATGATAGTCTGATTTTAACATTGCATGTAGATTATTCCCTAAGCAAGAGGTTCCAGAAATGTTGTGGCAGCCTATGTATATCTGTACGTAAAAACGTATGTCTGTACTTACTGCAACCATGCAGCTTATAGTTGAAAAGCATTTGTTAGCCTTTGGTAGTGATGCCACAGCCTTCTCCCCCCACACAGCTGGCTGCTTGTTTCTCAGCTGGGGCAGTGGCATTACCAGTTTGATAAGACAACAAAATAAACTAGAAGCCGATGCCATGATGTGAAAGAGGCTATCCAAACTTAATTGAATATTCGCTCCCATTAATTTGTTTCATTGCTCACAAACACATGAAGGCCTGATTGGGGCAAGGTTTGGGAGCTGATCTTTGTTGCTTTGTTTGTTTCTCATGAATGTAAACAATATTTTTTGTGTGTTTTTAGTACTTAGCACTTTTTCTTAGTTTCTGAACAATACAATTTATTGTATTTCATGGTTTTGGGTTTTTTTTTTGTTTGTTTTTTGTTTTGTTTTTGGCAATTTATTTAGACAGGGTCTCATGTATCCTAGGCTGGGCTTAAACTTGCTGTGTAGCTAAGGATGGCCTCAAACTCATGATCCCCTAGTCTCCCCCTCTTCAGTACTAGGATTACAGATGTATACCACTACACCTGGTTTGTATACAGTGGTGGTTGAACCCAGAGTCTAACGCACGAGAGGCTCTTGATCAGATGAGCTATATCCCAGGCTCTGCAAATTTATTTTTTTTTTCTCTATATTTTAAGATTCCCACTGCCCCCAAACTAATAGTAGTTGAAATAGTAAATTTGATTTTATGCGGTATTACTTCCCAAATGACTGTGGCTTTTTTCTTAGGGCTCAGGAATGTGTCTGCCTAGCAGTTGATTGAGGCTTAAGTTTAGATACTTTCATGAGGTTTTTCTTTTCCTTATTATTTAGTATTTCATTGAGTGGTAACCAAAACGGATAGGTTTTTTGTTTTGCAGTGGCAGTGCAATATTTCCCCCATAAAAGAGGGGTCTCCATGATCATCTAGACTGGAGATGATGGGTCTTGGTTTTCTTTCGTAACTGAGTCCTATCACAGAGCACTGTCCCTTGAGTCCTGATGCATGCATGCCCTTACAGCTGCCTACTGTTGTTTCACCAGTGAATGCTACATGAGGATTTTTACTACTCATTTTATAGTGACATTGATAAATGAGCTCATTTCTTCCTTTCTGTCCTTAAAACCTTAAGTGGAAAGAAGTTCAAAGCCTTTTTTTTTTTTTTTAAATCACATATACCATTTTTATGGGCACTTTACCAGTGATAGCTTTTATTAACCTCTTCTATAAATTCTTGAAATATTATTTTCCCTGTGATTTAGAGAATGAACATGTGCGTTGAAGCTGTGTATCTAGCAAAGCATGTTCTTTGTTATTCATGGCAATGTCCTATTACCCATTTGCATGTGTGTGTACATATATAAATAATGGGCAACGTTTGTCGAAAGTTTCTAATGTACCAAGGTAATATTATCACTTTATGTGTATCATCATAGTGTAATTCAAAAACCCATGAAATAGCTTTTACTTTAAATAAAAAAATAGTTCTATTTTTAGAATGGGTTTACTTTATAAAAACTTGCTCATCAGAAAGAACAGTATTGCCATGAAGGGAGGCTGTTTCCTTCCTACATGTAATTCCTCTTATAATTTCCTGGCTGGCATTGGTAGTGCTCATTTGTTACCAATGCATGAGGCAGTCATTTGGTAATTCGCCCTTTGTGTTGTCCACTTGAGTTTAGACAAATGAATCGTGAATACAAGCATCATAACAGCCTCATGCAGAGGGTTTTCTCTGCTAAATCCTCCTTTCTATAACAGCGAAAAGTACTGCTAGAAGATGGGATGATTCTGCATGAGTCATACAGATAAACAAGTGTAGGATTGCTTTGCTTGTCTAGAATCTGTTCTCCTGTTTCATACTCCGGCTTCCCAATGCTTCACAGTTAGAGAATTGGTGAAGGAATGTAAATGTGGTGAAATCGTTGCTCTTACCTTAGGAAAGTCCACAGACACTTACCTAGGAATATTTGCTTGAGGCTTCCTCTTCTACTTTGAAGTTCAAACGTGACACATTTCTGAAGGAACATTGCAGTTTTAGTCCCTGGGTGGTTGATGAAACTGACTGCTAGAGAGTACCTAACTGAATGCAGTGCCATTATTGAAAGGAAAGAACTTCCTAAGTCCGTTTTCCTGAGTATGAGGTTAGCACTAGTTTTAACCTCATGATGGATCACTAGTGATGGAGACTGAGGGGTAATGCGTAGCAGTCAGGACAGTGAGTGGATGTAGAATGTAGTAGCAGTCAGGACAGTTGAGTGGATGTAGAATGTAGTAACACCGTGGCTTCTCTGTTAATGAGTGGCTGAAAAAAGTCCTATAGAGGATATAGGGAAATTAGTCAAAGTTGCATAGATTGAGAATAACCCCCGGATTATACACCTTGAACTTGGGAAAATTGTTTGCAATAGCATTGATTTAAAAGTTGTATGGGAACACAGAATGAATCATTGCCTGAGATGTACCTTAGTATATAAATGAGGAGGAACACACAGATGATTACTGTTGGCAAAGCTGTCTGGACATACCCTGGACTTAGCTCTCCCTTAGAGTCCACATAGGTTTTCATTCCTGCCGGGCCAGACTAGAGACAACTTTGGGAAATATCTTCCTAGTGGTCTCTCCCTTGTTACAGTGGATAATTGTGCAGAAGCAATAACCAGGTCAAGATCACACTGCTTCATAAGCTGCCTGGATTACATTATTTCAAGAAAAGTAAACTTGTTTCATGGAAACACTTCTCTGCTGTTGTTGTTACTGTTTCTCTGTGATGTCACTATTTGCTTAAAACTAAGTAAGGCTAAGAGGGTGAGCTAAGTGGTGTTTAAGTCCTGCCACATTGTATTTAAGTCCTGTTTTAGCAGAACTTCTTTGCTGAGTGATAGCACCAATGAGAAATAGTTGTTGGAAATTCCCCAAGCCATGACTTTGTTTCTTCCTTGGTAGTAATTACACCTACAAAGGGACATTTGTGAGTGGTAAAGGGTGGGGATGGGAGTCTAGAAGAGAGCTAGTGTTGCCTTCATCACTTGGGACCCATGTCTGTTCCCTCTATACTCCAGAGGGAAATGGTGCAGGCTTTTAAAGCCTATTGCTCATTGCCTTGGTGTTGTCTCATTTACCCCTTGCTGTGTTTAACATTTTGCATCACTGAGCTGTATCTGAGGGTTAAATCTCCCAAGCGTAATGTGTACTTGAAGGATCAGAGAAGGGAATGGCCATGGGAGAGAGCTCTTCGGCACAGACCAGAATTCTGTGTTTTTTGCTGTTATGTGAGTACAGGAGAAGTGTGTGTGTGTGTGTGTGTGTGTGTGTGTGTGTGTGTGTGTGTGTGTGTGTGTGTGTAGGTGTTCATGGCTCTTGTGGAGGTCAGAGGCAGTCAGTTTCCATGCAAGCCTGCATGCTTGTGTTTGCTACTGGTGATTGAAAGTTAGTCTTGTGCCTTATACTAAACCATGGAACTGTATCGGCCCCACCTCTTAACTCATTTTTCAGCCAAAGACTTTTTAAGTTGCCTAGCTTACTTTGAGTTTACCTGGTAGCCCACACAGGCTTGTGGAACTTGTGGACCTCCAGCTCCAGCCTCCTGACTACAGAAGACCTCTTATAACTATAGGTTTGTGACCTCTGGTCCAGCTTGTTTGAGATTCTAATGGTGTTCTGAGTATTTGTTTATAGACTCAGGCATATTAGGACTTTTCACTCCAGTTTTACAGAGCTGTGCAAATACTTTTTCTCAATTAGAATTCCTGTGTCAAAGCCATTCCTAGCTCATCTGCCTCTACATGAAATTAGTATAAGACAAGCAGAATAGAATTTGATGGTTGAACGTATACTTCGTTTTTCCTCCAAGTACATACCTCCTATTGGCAGTGGCAGCTAGTATGAGCTGAGGGAATGCTTTATTAAGATAAAATAATAAAGACAGCAAAACAGAAAGTGGAAGGGCTTGGCATTAGCTCAGTTGGTAAAGTTGTTGCAAGTATCTCAGCTCAGTTATCAGAACAGGGGTTGGGGGCCTGGCCAGGCAGCTTGACAACTAAGGACACTTGCTGCTCTTCCAGAGAACCCAGGTTCTATTCCTAGAATGCACATGGCAGCCAGCATGAACTTCGGTTCAGGGGATTCGATACTCCCTTCCAACCCCTGCAGGCTTCAGGTGTGCAACATGGTGCACTTACATACACACGTGCTAGCAAAATACTCATTCTCGTGCAATAAGAGTAAGTAAATATTTAGCATCTGAGATCATCTTCTGGCCCTCACATCCATGTGCACATACGCACACTCATGCGATGCACACACAGTACTCAAAGGAAACCTAAAATGCCATGATGTTTCTATAAACCCTTTTTATTTCTATGAAAATTTCAGGGCCCTTTCAGTCCCCCAGCCTCTTTTTTGATCACTTTGATTGATTGGGCTCAGCATCATTTCCAGTCTTCTCTTCTTGACGCTTCCCAGGATCCTGAAACCAGCCTTTATTCTCAACCCATTCTTCTTGGTTATCCTCAGTTAGAAGAAATGAGTGCCTCGCCCCACACTGTTTACCTGTAGACATTCGTGCATTTTGTTTGTGCCCAGGGTTAGAAATAAAATAAAAAAAGTAATCTACCACAATCCGTTGCTGAATCATCCATTTTCTCTGTTTTTCAAGGGCCGTAAGAATGAGGCTGAAAAGTTCTTCTTGAAGGCCATTGAGCTGGATCCCACCAAAGGAAACTGTTACATGCACTATGGTGAGTGGTGATACTTTTCCCCCATAAGCCCCCATCTGCTGTCAGTGAAATTCTAGTCCTTTGCCGGTCCAGGACCTTTGAGAGCAGGTTGGCTTCCTCCTTCCAGATTTAACCTCATGCTGCATCCTTCCGTTTCCATTCACAACACCACACACAGGAGGACTCTGAACTGTTTACCCTCCCGCAGATTTCATTGGCCTTTAAAGGACAAGGCAGGTTCCCAGTTCTTTCAAGTTCAGCACAGAGTATTAAGTGAGCTCTCATCAGGAAAGCATATAGCTCTTTGTCTGGGGCATCGTTTATAATAACAATATTAGCTTCCTTTTTTTTTTTTTTTCATCTCTCCAGTAATGTATTGCTCATGGAACATGCCAACTTGATGTTTTAGGAGTTTACATTTTGGCCTCAACGTCTTGCTTTCTGGAAGATATGAATGTATACCAGGCCATAAATGCCTATGAGTGAGGCCAAGCTAAAGCTATAACAAATATAAGGAATTTCTGTTTCATGTAGTTTAGTTTTGGCCTTAATAAGCCCAGAATGGGCTTCCATAACACTCTGTCATTACGGTGACTCATGTGTTTAGCCAGCAAAGTATACATCTGGCTGGTGTGGCCTAAGATGTGCTGTGTCTACCAGATTTGCAGATGGGCTGTCTATCTCTCAAGGAACAATAACAATAAGCATTTTCCCTTCTGATGATCCCATGGGAAACAAAGTACTAATTTTTTAAAACAAATTACTGCTGAGTTTAATATGTTAGATATTATTGAGTAGTAAATGTTAACATGGACAGATGTGAAATCATTTGAAAATAAAGCTAATGCTCCTTTATAGTATTAATTCCTTCTTCCAGTTTTCAGCCCGAAAGAAAAGTATTGATGGCTTAGGAGTGTAGGAGAGTGGCACTGAGCCAACCACATGTGCATTTTGTATGTATATATTGTTGTATGCTTGTGAATCTAGGCACATGATGCTTTGGTTGAGGATAACACATGATACAAAAGTGTCATATTGTATGGCCACTCTGTCTTTGCTCTTTTACTAGGGTGTTAAGATAATAGTTGAGTAATTCAACTTGGCTACAGAATTTACTTTTATTTTCACATGTTTTCCTATATTAAGTATTAAGTATTAGAAATTAGGGTTTCTCATACCTGATATTTTGGGTTCTCCTACCCAACATCAAATTATCTCCATGATTATTTTGCTAGAGCATGAGATGACAGTTGCCAGGGCGTTTTAGGAAATAGATGTTCTCTTTCCTACTTCATTACTTACATTTCCTTTGTTTCGAACTGGTTCTACATCATATGTCTTCTGAACCAGTTCCCAGTATGATCAGATAGTGGGTAGGACTCCACACGATGGGTAGGAGTCCACACAATGGATTTCTTTACACCCCGCTATTGCTGTGTTTGAATAACCATTATTAAAAATCCCTGGTACGGCCAGGGTTGTGGCTCAATGGTCCAGCACTTTCCTAGCACAGGTGAGGTCTGATGTTCAACCGTTAGTAGTACTTTCAAAGAAAAAGGAAAGGGAACTGACTTCAGACTTAAGTTGCCTTAAGAATTCTTAAGAGATCTGGCTAACTCGCCTTCTCGAAATACTTTTTAAAAATGAGTACTTTGCGGCATGTTATGCTCCTGAGGTTTTTAGTTCCAGTGGTAGTGAGAGATGTTATTTCTCCCTCGAGAATCTTATTTTGGATTTACTTCACTCAAAGTGCAACAGGGTTTTTATTATATTTTTAATGTTACTTGAAAAATAGAGATTAGCTCATGTCTTTAAATGTTTGTGTAAAGATTGAGGTCTTTTTTTTTTTTCTCCTTAATTCTATTGGAGCATTTTTTTTTAACTTGAGGATTATACAAACAATTAGAACTATATTTCCTGTCTCTGAGAAGGAAAACCTTTTTATTCAGCATAATTTTATGAAATACAATGTCATTTGTTGTAAGAACTTTACAACACATAGTATTTTTCCTGCCGTTACATATAATGGGAAAAGGTTCAAATGAGGCGACAAAGGACAGATTAGTTAGGGCACAGTCTATGCATGCAAAGGAGCCTGTAACCAAGAATATGAGACGGTATTAATATTTGGTTTTTAGTGCTGAAAAATTGTTTTAAATTTAACCACCAATTCTCTGTTTTGCAAACAATAGAGTGAAGTCTTGAAAATCAAAGATGATTCAAATTTAGTATAGCCAAGCAACTTCTGCATCCCTCAATTACTCCTTGTTTTCCTTTTATAACATATGTTCTATTTCCTTTATAGCATTGTTAGATAGACAAATAGACAGTTTTATCTGTAGGCGTTTGTGTACAGAATTAAGAATGTTATGACTTAGCTTAAAATTCTTAGAGAAGGATTTGTTTTGTTCCTATAAGATGTATATACTTGACACAAGACATTCTTACCTAGTCAGAAAATTCTGTGGAGTAAATATTATGAGGTCATCTTCAGAAGGTGATCAGGTGGAAGGTGGAAGATTTGTTAAGAAGGGTAGCTCTGTCTTACATTTGTGAGCATGCGGTATGGGCCATCTCTGAGACCATTCCTACTATTTGCAGAGCAAGGCGTGGTAGGAGAGCTGGGAAGTCCATGGGTCCATGTCAAGAGCAAGAGTAGATTTAGAGCAGTGAAGAATAGCTCTAGATGGAGAAGGGGAAGATGAGGCTGCAGAGGAATTAGATAGAGGCCCAGGGGGCTTTTCAAACCAAGCGAAGGAGCGTTTCTTCTTCTGGTACTGGGATGGACCAAACGGAGAAGACAGGGATGAGGGCAAAGTACAAAAGGGAAAACCTTAAAGAGTGATTGCTATGTATTGAGCAAGAGGTGATGGTAGTTTGGGGTTGGGAGTTATTGGGAAAGCTGACACATAAAAGTATGCCCCCTTTAGGTAATTTTGAGTGGGGAGAATTCTGTTTCCTCTCTTTTGTTCCATCAATACTTAGTATATTGTCAAATTCCCGGTAGTGTCCCATGTTAGAACTGAATCTGGAATGCAGAATTCATTGAAAGGATGTTCTGTTTGAATTTTTATTATTTTTATCCAAGAAAAATCATTTTTTGTTTCTCATATCAGTTACTTGCCAACTTGCTGATATATATATATATATATATATATATATATATATATATACATATATATACATACATATATATATATGTATATATATAATTTTCATTCCCTCTTAGGGTGTTTATACCCACAGATTGAATGAGTAAAAAAATACTCCCTCAACTTGAAAATAATATTTGAATGAAATGTGTTTGTTCTGAGTCCTTTAAAGATGTGCTTCAAATGCCAGTGAGTGAATGTCATGAGAAATTCACTTTCTGGGACAATTGTGAGCTTTTTAGTTTGCTTGTTAATGATATGAATGATTTGGAAGGTACCATTCCATTGTAACTGGACAGACAGAATTGCAGTGGTGATTAGAAGATGATGTCTAAATATGCCATGGGTTCCTACTAGTTTAGATCATTTGGTTTTATGTCTGAAGGAAAGAGTTGTAGATTAATTTTTTTCACTACTGTTTCACTAAAGTTTTATCTGAACGGTTGTTAACTGGTTCAAAAAGGTTATTAATGTTGGTCTATGTTAACTTTCAGGGAGAAAAGGAGACTTTGATTATCATCCTGGGCTGAAAAATCTAGAAAGTTGGTATTGACTCCTAGGTGTTTTCTAGCACTAAAATTTTCTATCACTTAAATAATTTATGAAATACTGTTTTTTTTATATTAGCTCAATGTTTTGCTATATGTGCAAATAAATGTGCAGCAAATGGGTTTCAAACTATTTCAAGGTATCAACTATAGTGTAGCATTATATTCATATATTGTTGTCTAAATTAATGTTTCCATGCCTGTGATGTCAATTACAATTGGTAAAGTTTGGTTCACAAACTTTAGGGTGATGCCTGTTGTGGATCAAGGGACTCTCCATGGATATGTTTGTCTCCAATAGGAAGTGTCTTCCAGAAAACTCAAAGTCATCATAAAGCATTTCCTCTTCAAAATCAAAAATGCTATTTTAGAAAAGCCATGTAGGGAGAGAAAATATGTTATAAATGTTTTTCTTGGGTACATAGAAGCCAATATGATATGATTAAAATATAGTAGTATGTGTGTGAGAGTACCTAGTACATATATGTTTTAGTCAGTGTTCTATTTCTGTGAAGAGACATCATGACCAAGGCAACTCTCTTAAAAGCATTTGCTTGGGGGCTGGCTTGCAGTTTTGGAGCGTTAGTCCACAGCCATCCTTTTGGGATGCAAAGAGGCGTGGTGTTAGAGCTTTTCCTCTGGAGGCAGCAAGCAGAGAGAGCTACCTCTCTACTTTTAGGCATGAGAGTACGTTCTCATTTTTACTTCTGTTAAATACATATTCTCAATTATTTTTGGTTTTGTATTCTTGAAGCAGGGTTTCTTTGTGTAGCTCTGGCTCTCCTGGAATTTGCTCTGTAGACCAGGCTGGCCTCGAACTCAGAAATACACGTGCCTGCCTCTGCCTCCCAAGTGCTGGCATGAAGAGCATGTACCACCACTGCCCAGATAATTTTTAAATTACTCATTAACAGAAAAGAAACCCTATCCTACCTTAAGAAAAAGTACTGAGAATAGTTATTAGACTAGATTAAGGAAATTAATGGTAAATAATTCTTGATCTGAGAGTTGAAAGAGAGCTAATGAGGAGGCTCATGAGAAAAAGCACTTTCTACTGAAGCTTAGTGACTTGAGTTTGAGTCATAGCTCTCATCCTGGAAGGAGAGTCCTACCTCCCAAAGGGTAGCCTCTGGCCTCCCAAAGGGTGTAATGTGACATATACACTTCTATAATCACACACAAATCATACATACCTCCACTGTAAAATTAATGAATTAATGCATCATAGTTGAAACACTTGGACAAGTGCGAAGTATTGTTCCTCTGGGAATTAACACTGGAAATTTCTGAGCAAGGAAGTCACCAAACTAGTTACTATCAT